TTTTTATTGTATTGTATAGTTTAAACCAATTATTTTTTTTCGGGTCGAATGATTAATATTTTTCGACAAAAAAATGACGGGTTCGAGTAAAATTTTGTGATTTTATTCAACGATAATTTTTTGAAAATTTTTAGATCTACGTTTATTTTTTAAAAATATTTTGTCGTTTATTATATCATTTATTGTGGTTGTAAGTGTTCGTGTGTTAAGAGTTTTTGTCGTGGTTATAAGTGTGGATTAATTAATTAGTAGAATGTTTTTTTTTTTTGTTTTGTTAATTATATAATTTAAGTGGAAAGAGGGTTGAATTGAATGAAAAGTAAAAAAAAAAAATGATGGGGATATTTTATGAAGGAATAAAAATTAGAGGGGTAGGAATGCAAATAATGAAAATATAAGGGACTAAAAGGAAAGGTCACAAAGGCACGTGGTTGCTGATTCCGGTTCTTAAATTAAACTAGTGGCGATTCTCCAGTAAGACCGTTGAGACCCCCCCCGCCCCCCCAATCCAGCTGTACGTAGCTGTCTAAATCGCTTCTCCCATGTGACCCCACGGGCCCCACATACTTTTTCTAATTATTATTATTATATTATTATTATTTAAAAAAAAAAAAACCAAAAAATCTTTCTCCATAACCAGAAGAGGAGGTGGGGCTCTTCAAACATTTTCATTTTCCCACTTTCTGCCTTTCCCAACAATCATTCATTCATTCTCTCAACACTATAATTCAGGTTGAATTCAATATCTATATATATGTATATATGTATGTATGTATGTGTTATCAGTTAATCTGTTGAACGCCGACATTTTGGTTATTCAATTGCTTATCCGATTCCTCGGTGTTCCTTACTTTCTATCATTCAATTCAATTTCGAAATTCTCAGTTGTTTATGTAATCTAGATTTGTGTGTGTGTGTGTGCGTGCGTGTGTGTGTGTGTATAGAGATAGAGAGAGTTAAATGGCGCAATTGCCTCCGAAAATCCCAAACATGACACAGAATTGGCCAGAGCAGAAACTGGGATCCATGGCGGCCACCAATTCCCAAAACCTTTCTTGGGTGGACGAGTTTCTTGACTTCTCCGCCGCGAGGCGTGGGACTCATCGGCGGTCGATCAGCGACTCCATCGCCTTCCTGGAACTCGACCAATGTCCCTCATCTCAAAATCACAACCACAATCCAGATCAATCCAATGGCGGCTTTGATGACGAACACTTCATGTCCATGTTCAGCGATGATCGTCTTCCCAATGCCGTTGCTCCTATACTTTCCTCCTCCAATCCTTCTACACCGTCCGATCACAACAGCATCAACGATGATAAAGACGCGCCCTCATCTGATCACCCCCCCAAACACCACAACCAATTTAAGAACGAAGCCGAAGAGGTCCAGAGCCAATGCACCACCGCCACTGACCCGAACCCGTCGATTAACGCTCCTGCGAATGTTTCATCCGATCGCATTGTCGATCCTAAACGAGTCAAGAGGTAATCAATCAATTTTCATTTTCAAATCTATACGTTCATTGTATATCCACTTCGGTTAATAATTTGAATTTGCGTGTTGGAATTAATCGATCAGAATCTTAGCGAACCGACAATCGGCGCAGAGATCACGAGTGAGGAAATTACAATACATATCGGAACTGGAACGTAGCGTTACTTCATTACAAGTATGTATACTTTTGAATTTCTTTAACGTGTGCGTGTGCGTGTGTGTGTGTATTGAGTTTCTGATTATATACATATTTTCCGGTGAATGAAGGCGGAAGTGTCGGTGTTATCGCCGAGAGTTGCTTTTCTGGATCATCAGCGGTTGCTTCTCAATGTTGACAACAGTGCTCTGAAGCAAAGAATCGCAGCTTTGGCTCAAGATAAGATTTTCAAGGATGGTCAGTTTCTTTCTTTCTTTCTTTCTTTCTTCAACCCGCCTATCCATACTTCCTTTTTTCAACTTTTTAAAAATTCATAATTTAAAATTACATACTTTTTTTTTTAAAAGAACAAATTGCAATTTGTTTTGAAAATTTTTGTTGTATATATACATACATAAAGTAAAAATTACCAATAAAATGTATCACTTAATATGTTAATCAATATAGAATGAGTTGTGTTGATTAAATTATCTTAAGTTCGAGCAAAATTATTATGTTTTTGATAGAAAGAAGCATCTCTTGCACCCCCTTAATTAGTCAGAATAGATTGAAAATTAGATCTATCTTTTCTTTTGATGGCCTGAAATTATTAAATAAATTATTAGATAATATCGTTGGATTAGTGACAATTACACATTAATTACAAATGGTTAAAATTACAAGTAGAGATATGATATTTATATATATATAAATAGTGATCCCTCTAGAGAGCTAAAATCGCAGCTCTTCTATATATGTGTATATGTACATATATGTGTAGATTATATGTGTATCTGTGTGTGATACACATAAATGAATTTGTTGTGAATACCGATTTAGGAGGAATCTAGTTCATTAGGTGTTCATAATGAACTAAACAAGACCAAAACTAGATAAGAAAAAGTACATAGATATGCTAAGCTAGTCATATAATGTATATGTATATATACATATATATTGTAGATTTTCGTAAAATGGGGATTTGGGTTAGGCAATCGATCTATGTTTTGTATTCCCAAAGAATAAAAACGTTAATAATGTATAGGACAAATCACCCTACTATTCAAGATGCTTAGAAACACGCCACGAACACACACACGCAATATATAGATATATATATATATATATATATATATATATAAAGCTCATAATTAGTGGTTTAATCATTGTTTCTCCTTTTATGGTAAAGAGTACTATTGAGATCCAAATTTTAATAATTTCTCTAGTAGAAAAGTTGTATAATATAGCTTATGGTAAGGAAAAAAAAAAAACCCAATAATTCTAAACATGTGTGTGCTTAAATATATATATATATATATATATTATATGGGGATGAGGGAAACACGTCTTCCATAAGAAAAGGTAGAAGTAGAACCAATCAATTTTGTAGCCCATCAAGAAAATGAAATGAAATGTCAATTAAAAATGCAATTTCATGGGTCCTACAAATTTCATTATAGAAATTTCTCCTTGAGATTATTTTTTTTTTACTTGACAATCAATTCATGTAATTCACCGACAATTCTTCAACCATAAATCTGTCTTCAATAAATTTAGGTTTCCTGCTGATGATAAACATACCAATTTATTTATACTACTCTGAAAAGTAGATACTTTTGTTTTTATTTGAATTATATTATCAACTGTTATTAGAATTGATATGCCTATGTGTATTATGATTGATATTTATGATTCACTTATTGATGGATGTAGGAATTTTAACTAAAAAAAAATTTAAAATGTAAATGTGAATGGATGCAATGCAGCTCATCAAGAAGCACTGAAGAGAGAGATAGAGAGACTGAGGCAAGTGTATCAGCAAAGGAAGCTGAATAAAATGGAAAGCAACAGTGGCGCACCACCACCGGCTGATCATCACGTAAAGCCTTCTACAGAGAAAGAACAGCAGCAGCAGCAGCTTCTCAATGTCTGATCAAAATATTATATAATCCCTGCCTCCTGCAAAACCCATTGATAAAATCTCTTTGTCCCATCAATCCATAACTTCATTCATTCTATTTCTCCTTTATCAATGAATTCCATTAATATATGTGTGTTCTTTTCTGATCATCTTCTTCAGTTTGGGACTAATTTACTGTCCAGTGTTGAAGAATTCTGATATTGGGTTAGTTAGGGTATTAATATTTGTGGGATTACACAAAAAGAAAAAGTAAGAAGAGAGGAGATCTGCAAATTGGGAAGGAGTTGGGTTGCAATGGTGATGATCACGTGATGATGTGTTTTGAAGGGACCACAAGTCCCAGATTTACATGATTGGTTTTGCAGGAAGAAAAAACACATGCAACTGTGGTTCCATTCATTCTTCCCAATAAACAACCAAATAATCATAATGTACATACATACATACATACATACATACATACATATAGATACGTACATAAACATTTGGGTATGTCTATTATGCTTGAAGTATATTACCAGAGTGGTGAGGATATTATCATCTTTTCATTTTTTTTATTATATTATACAGTTAAATCTTCTATCCTTTTCATGGTAACTTGTTCTGGGGATATACATATACGTGTATGTTTGAAGCCAAAGGATGATTATTTTGTGGTGGAATGTATGAAAGTAAGAGTTGTTGTCAGGGTGATTTCTTTTTCTTTTTTCCTCTTTAAGTGTTTACTTTTGCCTGTGATATGATATTTAATATAAATTTCAGAGCTTTCTTCCACCAAATTTCTTCAGGGAAGAAAGTTGCAGATATCCCATCTGTATAGTAAATTTTTATTGTAACAATTCATTATATATGTATCGGTGACATTATCGTAGCAATTTATTTACGAAGATGGTATAACGATTAATTTCATTGTAAATGTATGTACGTATTAGGGCCAGTGGCGCCTACGATTTTGTGTTTCCCAAGCAAAGAGCCAAAAGTCATGGACATTACAGTGGTTATGGTGGCGGCGGCGGCGGCGTTGATGCCAGTTTTTCCGAACAAGGCCAACCAGAAAGAGGAGAAGAGCCAGTGAGGAGGTTCCTCCAGTTATGACAAACAGACCCCAAAAGCTATCTAATCCTAGACGGAAGCCATTCTTGTCAGAGTCTGAGCTCGAGCATTTGAATGTGGAAGTAAGAGATCTTTCCAACTTTTCAAGTGTTCCATCCTCTGCTAATCTCAAAATTGCTTTTGATATGTCACCCAAGTATGGAGAACTCCTTGGAAAAACCTACCTCAACCAAACAATATAATCATAATCAATACATGTATTATGTATAATCCTAGTATATAAGATGTGGGTAGTATACAATATATACTCACAAAACCAAAGCCTCCAACTTTAAAAGGTTGCCCAGAGGTAATAAACAGGTTGCAGTGTTTGGCTAGAAAAACTTTGATGTATGGAACTTCAAGAAAGGCTGCAGATATGTCTCCACTCGTAAGAGCTGTAGCATAATCCTCTTCTGAATTTATCTTAACAATGTTTGAAGGATCAAAACCCAAGCCTACTTCTAAATAGTTTGCGACGAATGAGTTTGCATCACACCCGACTTTTTCTCCATTCCTCTTCAGTGTCTCCACATCCACTGATGCAGCACTCAGCTGTTCCAGTGTAAGTAAAGATGCTAAGCCCGCAGTGAAGCTTTGGACTAAGATTAGAGCTGCAAATAACCAAACTATCATCGCCATACGAGACAAATTGCTGTGAAGTCTATGTCCTGTATATTTATACAAAACCAGTTAACAAGGTTAGCCTAGTTAACATATATATATGTAGTAGAAAGAAGTTAATATGGAGAGATGCTTACCATGTTGAGAGAATAGTGTGTTGAAAGCTAGTGAAATCATTGTGCCAATTTGGTTATGTATGGGTCCTGATCTGAGTTCTGGGTTGTGATTACGCTCGATCAGCCAAACAACGATGCCATTATAGATATTGACAATTCCCGTAAAGACCCACATGATTGATGTGAAGGGTTCCTTGAACAACCATGGCCTGCTTAATTTCTTTGATTTGGCAAGTACCACCATTTGTAGACCTGAAGCAGAATAGGGTTGTGAGAACTCTGCGAACTCACAGCGTTTTGCCAAGATTGCTGTGTCCCCCACAACCGCATCAAACCGCTGCAGACGTGAAAATGTTCTTTTAGTTCACATATATGTATCAATGATTGATTTGTTATATAATACATTAATTTGGAATATGATCTGATACCTTCAAACCGACTTGTTTAACCAACGAATCATAGCTACCATTGAATGGCTGAAACTCATATGGGAAATTGTATGGCAAAAGTGCAATTGTGGCCTTAAAAACTTCAAATACAAACCCAGTAACACTCTTAGAACTCACATTTATAAATTCTTTATGAGTATTTTGAGAAGGGACTCCTATAACTACTGGCTCTGAGGTGTTAGGTACAGACCATCCTTTAGGGGTTAACCAAGGTCCTCCTGGCCAATAAACTTGTCCTAGAATTATCATCGACTCGTTGTATGTACCTCCATCACCATTATTGTCGATTGTTTTCGAGAATCCTAATCCATCTGACCAGTACCCTAGTTCTCTATAACTCTTGCCTACAACATTAACTATCCCAAAAATACTTGCAGGTTCTAAACTCTTTTTTTTAAACTTAAACTTACCAGTTAAACCCTCAAAATTACAATCGAAAATTCTACCCAACAACTCTCCACCATCCCTCCAATCTTTACCACCCATTGCAATAGACATAACCTTCATGGCATCATATGCTTCCAATGCGTGTATCCCAGGTTCTGTGTATGTTTCGTTGGGAAATTGTGAATGGAACATAACCCGAAAACGAGAAAGAAAGTGTCTCATGTCCTTAGTATCATGTGAAATATAGCTCCTAACTCCAACAACACCTTGCATTGAGGAAATGATGGATTCATCAAGAACATCAATCTGATCAGTAACGGTGTTGGTGGTGATCCACACAAACTCTTTCTCCATCATGCCTAACTTCTTTGCTTCCATGAAAATGTTCGACAAGCTTGTAGTCGAGTGGACAATGAAGATTCTATACTGTCCATTTTTGAGAGCTTTTAGCTTCTCAGACAAGGAAAAGTCAGGTAAAAGAATGGGAGGGAGAGGAAGAAGATCGCTGATCTCAACATCAACTTCTTGAAGTGCTGTGATGAGGGGAGCGATGGGTGAATGGTCAAGTTCTTGGTAAATGAGGTTGACTTTGTGCCATTGCCAAGTTTTAACAATGGCGGCTATGGCTTTCATTTGAGCAATTTGGCTACGAACCGCATTAACCATGAAAGGCCAATTTCCAGATGCCCAACATGGGACTTCATTTGCCAAGGAAAGAATTGGGATTTCAGACTTATTGCCTAGTTTTGCCACCATTGCCGTCTCTCCCCATGTTCCTAATCCCATTATAGCTCTTGCTCCATGCTTCTTGATTAGAGTTCTTGCTGCATTAATAAATTAATTGTATGTATGTGATTAACTCTAAATAATACTTCATTATATTTCAAAAAAATATGTGATTAAATCTATTTTTGCAAGTCTTTTTGTGATTTACCAAATTAATCAAATATTATGGAATGTTGTGTTTTATCTACTTCAATGTTGGAAAAGAAAAAAGAAAACTTGATTACTGAATTTCAAAGCTTATTGATTTTGACAAGAAAAACAGAACAAATAAAAGCTAGTTCTGTAGTATCATGTGTCTGCTATCTATATAACTCGGTTACAATTCCACCATGGTTATTATAAATCTATATATATATATATTTACACAGCTTATATTTAATAAATAAATTTGGATTATGTAGTTTAAAAAATTAACATACTTTTTATGTTAGAAAGGACTTACCAATTTAATTTTAAAAACTTAATATTGAAAATTAGATATAGTATTACAATAATATTTTTTTAAAAATATTCATAGATGATAATTTAATCTCAGTACATATTATTTTTAAAATATATAAAACAAAACGAAAATAACACTGAGTTACTTTTTAAGTCAAATTTTATAAACGAATCATGTTTAAGTTAATAAAATTTATCTAAAATCAAAATTTATGTTATTTTTATATATAAATACAGAGATAAACCGATCTCACCAGAATAAAGAGCTCGAACAGGATCTTTCATGGAATCTCTGAGAAGCAGAGTTGGACGAGAAGAGAGATGAGGATAGAAATCCTCCATGGCCAAATCCAATGCGACCTTTTCTTCTTTGCCAGCTCTCGACGACAAATCAAGAATCGCGCCTATTATCTTCTTCCTCCTCCCATCATCATCACCTTCATATGCTTTACTGTACACACTATTCGCGAACAATATAAACAACATCAACAATATACATTGTCTATAACTCCCCATTGTTCCTCCCCCTTTTGGTCAAACATGTTTGCACCTTCTAATTTGCTTTAAAACAACCCCTATATATATATATATATATACACACAAAGCATCATATTTATTTAATCTAATTCCGATTGTGGAAACCGGTTGGAAATTTTCTTCCAAGTCAAAAAATTCTCTGAATGTGACTGTTCTAAAAATTTGATATATATATATATATATATTACGTCTATATCCATATGAAACGTAAAACATTGTGAGTTTTATATATGTATAGATATTATTAAAACAGTTGCATCGCTACCGACCATGAAGAACCAAAAAAAACAAAAAGTTGACGACAGATATGACAGCAACTTTCATGCATATTAACATCACAAACTCTAATTTAAATATGAATGTCAATGGGGGGAAGTTAGAACTTGGTGAGTCCTGTATATATGCAATGATGCAAGAAAACTATATATATATATATACTCTCTAAGTTATTGACTGTTTCAAAGTCAGTCTTTTCTCTTTTCAAGGTAAATTCATGTTGAGTTAGAGAGGAGCTAACAAGTTTAGTTTAGACTGGATCAAACTATATAAAAATTTTGAGACCAGAGTTTTTTATTCATTCAGAGTTCAGATTTAAGCCCAGTGAACTGAACCTATTAATATCTTTTTAGTAATATTAAATATATAAATAACATATATATATATATATACATAATGTATTTAAAACTTAATTTTTTCTGAATAAATTTAAGTTCATTTTGGTACAAGACCAGACTGGATTGATAAGTTTTAGTCCGATCTACTCCAATTTTATTCCTATAAAGGTTTACCAAATGGGTTTTACAAACACCCAAAAATTTGAGTAACATTTAGTATTCAAATTTCCCCACCTCTTAACAGTATTATCATATGACTGTATATGCATTATTTTACACGTAAGAAGTTTAGTAGCAAACTTCATTCTCAATAGACTATCTACTACATTTACTCTCTGTGATTCTTTCTTCCTTTTCTGCTTCTCCTGAGAAACTTTAGAGTTCCCAGACCGCGGCAACAAACAAAAGCATTGCCTGGTTAGTTTATGGCACAATGCATACTCTGCTCGTTAATTTGGATGATCTTATGTGCAGTGTTTTCCAATATGAATAGATCATATGTGTAGGTAACATGTTTTTAAAACTGTAATTCACGCCCAAAGTAATAATTCAGAACAAAAAATTCAGTATAGCAAATACGGGTGCACACAATCTGATCCGGACCAGACTAAGTATGGTTTGGTTCTCGGTCTTCCCAGAATGTTAGGACTGCAAATTCTGTTCCATTAAAAAAAATTATATATATATATACATACACACAGATTGATCAAGGACAGAACATGCTCCATCTCTGTAGATGAATTTTCAATTCTCAACTAATCCGGGATATAACCGAGAAAGTCTCATTTTCTTTACCTCTCATGCCCTGTTCATCCTTTCAACAGTTCAACCAAAATGAGTTAACAACTAACTTAAAATTATCAAAATTATCAAAATTGATAAAACTAAAATCTCTTAAATGAATTGAGTATAGATTTTCAAAATCAATTCCATAAACATAGACATGCTGCAGGATAGCCCGAACTCACTCACTCCCCTGTTGCAACACAGGTCATTGCCTGGTTGTTGATCCCATCCCAATCTGCACATCTATCTTGAACCAAACCACTACTCAGATCCAGCAGAATGAAACTCCCATCTATACTTGGAATCAAATAAGAAAGGCGACAACTAGATATTACTCGATGAACTTACTCTTCCAGTTACTGTAGCAATCAAAAGAAATGAACTAATAATATAGATGAAGAATTCATTTCCTCTGGATTTAATTCAAGAAAGTTCTCAAAATTTCAAGACTGTACAGGTTCCCATATATTCATGCTATTTTAAGAATCATTCCCAATACCTAATGATTGAGTGCAAATTTACATGGCTGAACACTTTGAAAAGCACAAACTTACTTTCGGTCTATAACAAACCAAAGCCATTCACTTCTGCTTTGTTCTGCCAAATATTGAAAACTAAAAGAGTCAAAGGCTCCATATTATAAATGAAACTCTTTAAATATCACAAACTTAACATGTGCACCAACCCACTATACTCCACATGTTAACAGTGAAGAGCATAAAATCCCATGGTAGATACAAGTAAGATTAGTATCTAGCAGTTTAGCAAAACTCAATGAGCACCAAGAAAAATAGTCATGATTCTCCGGCACTGGTTAAAGATATCCACATGCACTAAATCAGAATAATCAAACTAAAAGACACTATTAAGATTAAGCAGCAAAGCCATTTTCTTTAACATACGAACTGACCTTGTTGAGTACTGAGATTTCTATAGTCACAAGCAAGTACCTCATGAGCAGTTATCCTTCACTTTGTCCAGCAAATTCTGGCATACCAGAAATCTTACGGTTTGCAAAAAATTTCTTTAGGAGCTTCATATTACTTTCCACATTAAGATATTTATCCTGCAGCATATGGACATTATCATTAAGTGCTTCAAATTTTGTGATCCATCCTACTTCAAAGTCTTTAATATTTTTCTCTATTAACATCTGTTTCATCCTTTCCTCTTCTTCTTGTTTCAAACGTTGCTTTTCAATTTCTGTAATGCTCAAAACTAAACCCCCAGACCCTTCAAGATCCCTATATAGAGGCTCATCACGCTGCTGATTGCGTGCTCTGTATTCTGCAAATGCTTTCTGGGTTTCCTTCAAAGCCCTTCTATATCCCTCTAAAAGGTTTGTCATCATATGGAGTTCATGCTCAAGCCTATAAACCTCCACATGTCGCTTCTGTTGCTCCTCCAACTTGGCCTTATGCAAGTGGTCTATCATATTATCCCTCTGCTGCAACTCTGTAAGCAATATCTGTTCGTTTACGCTCGAATTCCCACAAGCCTGCTCTTTTGCTGCATACAAAATCCTAGCTTTTCCCACCAAATGCTGGATTTGCTCCATACATGCATCAAAATCTGAGGACTTGTCATCCCATGGCCCATCGATTCTCAACCTCTTATTGGAAGCATTAATGGAGTGTCGCAAATTATCATTTCCGTGATCGATCTCCCTCTTGTCACCATTACCGAATAGCGATGAACCACCAGGAACTGTGTGACCATCAGCCCTAGATGCAAGAAACTCGCCTGACAAGTTATCACGAATTTGCACCCCAGAACTGAAAGGGATTTGTGCTGCTTCCATTGCAGCAATAAGATTTTCCGATGCAACAGCCTCCAAAGCATTATCATTTGGTGAAAGATGGAAACCTCCTTCCTGCTCTTCCTCCTCCTCCTCATCCTCCTCTTCCTCGACGTCTTCATTCCCTTCTTCCTCTGCTTCTCCTGCTTCTGCTTCCTCTTCTTGCTTCCTTTCATCATCACACTCCATACCTCCAACATCACCAAGATTACATGATTGAAGAAAATGTTCCCTCGCATTGCTCTTCCCATCCAGAAGCCATCTCCCCTGGTCTTCCTTGTTTTCCTCAATATCCATAACATCCTGAATGACAAGGCGCTCCTTCTCAGCTTCCTTGTTTTCCTCAATATCCTGAATGGCAGCACGCTCCTTCTCAGCATCCGCTTTGGCTACATTTTCTTGCCCAAGACTCAACTCAATTGTATGTTCCTCCAACTCCTTTCCTCTGCAAAAATCATCAGCCTCCCCAACCATCTTCACATCCTGGCTACTGCCATCCTCTTCTTCAACCTCCTTCATATCCTGGCTACCTCCATTGTCCTCTTCCACCTCCTTCACATCCCGACTACTTCCGTCTTCTTCTTCTAACTCCTTCACTTCTCGATCCTCCTCTTCAACCTCCTTGACATCGTCTTCTACTGTTGGTCCCTCTCTCAACATCTCCTCTCTCTGGGATTTGATCAAACATTGTAAGTGGGAGGCGTAGTAACAGTTACCCAACTTGGGCGCAGCCATCAACTCCTTCTCTATCATGAACCAAAACAATCCCGCCCAGTCCACCTTCTCGAAATGACCTTCCTTTATAACTTTCGTCCAATTCAATACCTCTTTGGGCATTATCCAAGTATCTTCATGTAATAAGACCCATATGGAGACAAATTCTTCGAGGAAGGCGATCGACTCCTCCGATTCTTCTAATTCCTGGAAATTATCAGAAACGCTAACTCGATCCTTCTTGACAGGCAACTTCAATGCTCTAGCCAAGTCGGCCCGGTTCACTCCTATCCTAACACCATTAACGTAGCTAGCTCGCGTGCCAGGATTAAAAGTAGCGATGAGTTGCGCGAGGAGGTCACCACGAATACTCCGATCGAAATCCAAATTGATGAAATCCCAAAGGCCAATTCGCTTGAGAAGCTTCTCATGGCTTGCAAAATCTAGGGTTTTGACAGGTAGAAAGGGAATAGGTCTTAGAATTTCGACAAGTACCTTGAGTTTCTCCAAGGATCTTTTCTCCTGAGCGGCTCGTCGTTTCTGATTCCCCTTCTTACGTTTAGAGACGCAGGCAAGACGAGAGACTGAAAGCGTTGAAAGAGTGATATGGTGATCAGATGGTGGAGAAGGCGGGAAGTCATGTCCGTTTGTCGCTTGTTCTAGAGACGGATTTGGTAGGGTTAGGGTTAGGGTTTTGTCAGGAGAATCGGGGGTCTGTTGCTGAGCCATTGTAAGAGATTGAAGCGAAGGTTGAGCGTCCGTTGAAGTCATCGAAGACAATGATCGTTCTCTCTGTAACACTATTCTCACACGAAGTGTTTTTAATTTCCCTGACTGCCCAATGAAATTTGAACACGTAAGCAAACGTTTGACTGGGGGTTTTTATTGACCGGAGCAGACTATCCGTTTCCGGGTCAATTCAATTGGATTCAATTTGGGCACAATTTAATTTTTGCAGAATTTTGTTAAATTCACACATTATTATTTTTATTATTTAATATAAATATAAAAAATTAATTAATTCAATTAAAAAATAAAAAAATAAAAAAAAAAATACAAAGAGTTAACTGGTGTCTTCTTTATTAAAAAAAAGTTGGCAGCCATTTTCGTACCGCTTGAAGACAAAGGTAAAAAAAAATAGTTTCTCAGTCCCCATCCTTACTTCCATTAAACTTGTTAGATCTCTTTCTCTTCAAAACCTCAACGGTCATTTTTCTTCCATCGAAGCTTTTCTTCTGATTCCAAGCAAAATGTTCAGCGTTCTCTCTTTCTGGCTCTTCATATTCTCTCTGGTTTCACCGCAAACCGTCACGGCCCAAAACGGGGTGGTGGTGCAGACGGAGGTATGGTGCGTAGCCAAGAACAACGCGGAGGACGCCGCGCTGCAAGGCGCAATTGACTGGGCTTGTGGCGAGGGCGGTGCCGACTGCGGCCCTATCCAGAAAGGCGGACCCTGCTATGATCCGACTGATATTCAAACAACCGCCTCCTTTGCTTTCAATGATTATTACTTGAAGCACGGCTTGACTGACGATGCTTGCTACTTTCAGAACACTGCTGCGCTCACTTCCCTCAACCCTAGTAAGTATCTCCCATGATTGAGTCTGGAATTTTAAAAATGGGTCTTGGATCTGATGTAGTAAACCCAGTTGTTGAATTTGGCCGGCAGTAGGATTTGGTGATTTGGGTGTTTTAAGTTTTTGATTTTTGCTGGGTGTTCGTTATCTGGGTATGGAATTTTTGAATTGATTGATTGTTTGTTGATTTGAATTTCAGGTCATGGTAATTGCAAGTTCCCTTCAAGGTAATGTTTCATAGATTACTTAAAACATATGCATTTCTCTCGTTGCTTCATTAATTAAATTTCCTAGTTTGCTTGATTTGCTTTCTGGGGAGAAGATAGTTGAAGGAATACTCTGAAACTTCATGGTAGAGTTTGATGTGTATTTGATCATATAAGAATTTTTGCTATGTGGGTCTTTGGTGAGGAAAAATGAAAAGTAATTTATTCAAACTTAAGGGTAGTTGTTCAAAGAAATGAACCTAACATTTTCAAAAGATTTTTAAGAAATAAAGATGGAGTCTACTTTTTTAGTTTATTTCGAATAGCGAATAGCCAATCACTCGTTGGAATAGTTAGTACTTCTTTTCTTTTATATAAAATTACGAGTTCGAGTGTTACCATACACATTTTATATGTATCTTTACTAAAATATTTAGTTATGATTAGCGTGTAAGATCTAATTTCATAGTAATAAACTCGATAGTGTTTCTTAGTAAATTATTGGAGATCTTCTGAAGTATGGAATGTGGCATTTGTGGATTTTGGAATGCAGCAAGACAATGAGCAATGGGACCATATCCGGATCGCCAACAATTATAGATATGCAGCCACATACTTCCGATTTTAGTGGTTGCAACCACATTTCGAGTTCATGGTTTTGGACATGGATTATCGGTGTCACGATTACACGAACAATTCTACTAGACTAGATATCAAAAATTTGATTCTCCATTCTTGATGGAACCACTTCGAATAGTTGATTTTGTTTAGCCTCATTAAGATCATGTTTCTAATTGTGACATAGCTATGCCTCTTGTTTTTGCAGTCCAAGTGGACATTGTTGTTGCCTTTCCTCGTGGATTTTAATTGAGATTATTCTTTGTTTCTCGGAATCAAATACATATGAATTGTAACTTACTTCGATTCTATGTTCATATTTTTAGAAACTAGAAGTGTTCCAATTTTCTTTTATAGTTATCCGTAGAAGAATTGAATTATCCAATAAATTCCTAGAACGAAAACGGGTTTATTTAAAAAAAAAAGGGTAAATAACGAAATATAATTAAAGTTTATATAAGTCATTAAATAATAAAATTAATCGTGTAAAGCCATAAATTCATAAAATGTTACAAATTTGATCTAATTATAATTTAGAATTTAGTTCAAAGAGTTTGAATACTTCAAATTTGCTTCCTTAATCCCCTTTAACCATTCAAATGAAAAGACCAAAAATTTCATTGGAGTAGTCATGGTAAGTTCTTATTTGGAGGTTAATGGATCCAAGTTCGGGTTGATCCATCGCGGCGACCCAATCATCCGGCCCAATCCGTAGACTTTATCATTATCATCGTCATTATTATTTTCGAAATCTAATTATGGGATATATAGAAATAATTAATTATCTCCACTTAATTAATATGGATTTTTTTTTTGGGTGTTATCTAATTCGTCCTTATAAGAGCTTCTCTTCATTGCCAAAATATAAGGACAAGAGAAATCACCGACTAATTTTATTATTGTGATCCTCTTTTAGTTTTTCTTTGACATTCTTAGTTGACTTATAAAAAATTCATATATATGTATGTATGTATGTATCTATTTATATATAAATAAATGATAATCTCAAAAGTAAAAAACCCATTAAAGAAAAAGAAAAACCCATTGTGTATATGTATATATATATATATATATGTATATCACATGCGACCACCTAATACACCCTTCTTTTTTCCAAATTCTTCTTACTTCATATGTCCTCAAACCTAATCCTTTGGACCAAGTAAACATGCACCATTTATAATTACCATATCAAATTATTTAAAGAAAAAGGAGAGAAGAAGTAAAAACAATCTCAAATTAATCTGAAAATTAAATTACGTACAGAAAATAAACACATACAAATCCCTAAGCAATTCATGTAAATCTCCAAAATCCACTTATCCAATAATCCTAAAATGTAATTATATTTATATATATATATAATTTAGAAATTAAATAAATTACCAAAAAAATATATTTAATTATCACTGTCTTTCTAAATCACGCATACCATCTTCTTCCCCACAAGACTGGACTCTCCGTGACGATGATCTTTCCCTACTCAGAATCCTCCGAAACGAACTCAGCCGCGAGCTCGACCCACTAACCATCTTCCCCGACGACGTTCCTTCCATGCATGACGTAGCCTGTTCCAGAGGAGGAGCACTGGGCGCACCACATACAGGACCCTCCCTGGGCTCAGGCTGGAGCCGTGGCTCGGCCTCGGTCCGGCAAATAGGGCAGGTCGAGTTCGAACTCAACCATTTATCAATACAATCAACGTGGAAACTGTGGTTGCAGTTCGGCAACACCCTCGCCATCTCTTCATCCTCCAGCTCGCTCAAACAGACGGAGCATTCATCTTCCCCGTCTGCTTTCTTGAACACGATAACGGGGAGTGAGTTGATGATTTCCTGATCGAGTCCGGTTTTGGGTGGCTCGCTGGAGTTGACTTGCGGCGCCGGTGACAGAGCAAGTCTGTAAATAATGGCTCGCCGGCGAGCTTGCCGTCGAAGGGCCCATCTTGCGTATATATGAAGGGCTAAGACGAGGAGAATAACGATTGAGAGAGATATGATAGCGGCGAGCATGATCTTGCTGTTAAGATCATATGAGTTTTTGTGGGTCCATCGAGGACGGTGATCATTGTCGTTGTCGTCGGACATGGTGGGTTGATTCAGGGGAGGAAGCCGGGTTGAGTTTGTGGGAGAGATGAGAGAAGTTGTGAATAAAAAGAGGAAGTTCTTGATGGGTTTTTCTTGGAGTTCATATGGGAGTTTCGTCACCTCCGAAGACAATTAGGTTTCTAAAACAAATTCAGAAGAAACCAAAAATTTCCTTCTGGTTGACTGTTGAATCTTGACTTGTGAATTTATATATGTTCTTTTTTTCTTGAATTATAAATTTTGTAATTTATATTTATATTATATTATATTATAATATATTAAGAGGTTGTTTTGTTAAGATGAAATAATACTTGTACATGAGATTAATTAATTTTTAATTATAAATTTTTTAATATTATATTATATTATATTATATATATATGTATTATTTTCAAAGTAAAACGTACTCGTCAACCTTCCACCTAAAACATAAACTTGTTGATTTATTTTAATATTTAATCAATAGAATATTACTACATTTAATTTAATTTTTACGCACTAAAACTAAATTTCTATGAATCTACTAGAACATCTACATATTTATATGTCCAAAAAGATTTTATATGCCCTATATGTATGTGTGTGTATGTATATATATATATATATATATATATATATATATCTCGAAGTGATTTGGAGGAAAGAGGGGGTTATGGGTATGTTTAAATTGTTAAAGAAGAAGACATAAAGTAGAAGAGGAAAATGTTGGGGAAACTTTCTTTGCTGCCCATTAGGTGAGACAAGAACCCTGTCTCTCTCTCTCTCTCTCTCTCTCTCTCTCTATATATATATATCTACTAAAATATATATGTATATATATACATATATAGTTAATAAGTTATATCGAGTGTTTGTAGTTAGTATAATATAGTTAGGCTATTATAAACAAATAGAATATTGCATCATAAAAACACAGTTACATACTTTCAGCTCCTTAACCAGGATCAAACTAAATTAATTCTCCATCCCTAATATGTAAACATTCTGTTTTCAAGAAATCAGTAGGAGGTTTTCTGCTAATATTAAAGAAGAAGAACATAAAAACAATGAAAGAACACGGGAAGAGCCAAACCATTAAAAAGGAAATCCAAGTCTAACAACAGAAATAATTAGTCAATAAACAAACAAAAGTTGAATTGCAGAGCTCAACTTAATACAGAGATATCAAACTGAGTATACATATATATATATATGTATAGATATAACGAAAAAGATGATTACATGATTAAATTATAATCTTTCCTCTGCATTTCATCTTCTGGATGATCATCTGGCTAGAATCCTTGAAGAAAGTACGCATTTTTACTTCATAGAAAGTGAGGTTCAAATCATTAGTTTCAGTAAAAATGGAGAAAGTACCTGATGAGAAGACGAAACAGTAGCCCCGTTAATGGTTTGAATCAGGAGGGGAAGAAGATGGTGTATCTGAAACACCACCACTTTCCTCCTCCCCATGAATTAAAAATGGAAAATGAAAGGCTGGCAACCCGTCTGAGACATATCTAGTCCCAACAATGGCGGACCCAATTGGCATATCATCACCAGATTGCGGGAAACTGGTTAGACCTTGGCCGAATATTTCTCGCTGCGAAGCTGGCAATGGCGAGGTACTGCTCCATCCCACCATTGATCTCTGGAAATTTGAAACGAACCCCACCGGAGCTGAATTTAAAAACTGGGTCTGATCAGTTGAAGAGATATGGCTTGTATTTAGGGGAGAGTTTTGAAAGGATTGAAGAGATAGACCAAGATCTTGGGTCCGGTTAGGGTTTGTTGAGATGATTATATCTTGTGGGTAGCTTTGAAAATTGATGGTTGAGGCAGGATTGTATCCAGGCGATTCAGAATGGTTTTCTTGAGGGGGTAACTGGTTGAGTTTATCAATGGCGGATTTAGCCTTGTTGATAAGCCAATCAACAGCTTTACTGGGTCGGTCATAGCCAAGTCGGTCTTGAACATCGTAGAATTGAATGGCGGTGTGAGCTGATAATCTTACCCTACGATCTTTAGGACCTTTGGAAGTGAGGATCTTGCTATGGCGATCTTTTTTAGCAGTGGAACGAAGAATATTACCTCCATTAAAGTTTAAAATATTATCTCCTCCATTGCTCTTCATTCCCATTTTCTTTCTCTACTGCGCATAATTCTGTTTCTTGCTAATCCCCATGAAAGTTTATATGTCTGCGGCTGCGGCTGTTGATCCCGATGAGCTTCTGCTCTGCAGATTCCACTGGGAACACCAAGATACCAGACAAATCTGCAGAAGAAAGTTATGGTGTTCTTTTATTTTCTGTAAACCGAAAAGGGAAATAAGTAAATATAGGTGACTCATCTATCTCTATCTCTATCTCTCTCTCTCTCTCTCTCTCTCTCTCTATATATATATATATACATACATATATATATAGAGATAGAGAGTAAATGAAATTTTTTTTTTTATCAAGTGGGTAAATTTGTTTAACTATTGTCGACCACATTTACCTATTTTAAAAAATACTTAAACTAATAATTTTATTAAAAAAATATAGATATAAAAAAAAAATTATATTCATTGAAATGGGTAAAATCCAACCTCTGTTCAAAATATAATTTGACCATGCATATATATATATATATATATATGCTATAATTGCAAATTGAATAATTATAATGATGAGAAAAAGTTAATTTTGAGATCACCAAGATAAGATTAAATAATTACAGCTTGGCTTTAACTTTAATTATATTGCTAATTAATATTTTCCATACATATATAATAAACATTCTTCTTTCCTTTTTCAGAATTCAGACCCCTCACAAAAAAAAAAAAAAGGCTTTCTAATTAATGACTCTTTACAACCCTGCAATACTATATATATATATATATATATATGTATATGTATATGTATATAGCATACAGCTCAACCTATATTTAGGATTTGGTGGTCTCAATTTGATTTTTTTTTTTTTTAAAAAGAAAATTAGCTTGACTTCTAGGTTGCTAGATTCCAGCAGTTTAACTAAACTCTTAAATGTATCATTTAATTCTAGCCAGATCTTTTTACCTAGGCTTTTTAGTTTCCCTTCTAGGGTATGTTTGGATGGGAGGAAAATGGGAGAGAAAATTATTATTTTAATATATTTATATATATTTTTGGCAATTCATACTTTTACAGAGCAAATAAATGGAGAAAGGGGATTGAATCTCACATCTCAATTCCCCTCATTCATCCCATAACATTATTTTTAAACATATATGTATATATATATATACAAGGTTGTATATGATTCATAATTTAAAGAGATGACAAAAACCCAGTCAAGAAGAAGCCTTTGTTTTGTCATTCATAAGCAGAGAAGCTCCAATTTCATTCTCTTCTCTTGTATTTTAATGCATATATATACACACAGTATATAGAACAAAGCATATTATACGCAACCCACAATTCTGCAGTCAAGATCATTTTTACTTTGCCGGGTACTCAACTTTCTGATTTTAAAAGAGAAAAAAAAAGATTGACATTGCCAGACTACCTCCATTAACAATAGCATATGTTTTCTCTATATATATATAGTTCTGGGGATCACGAGTCATGTAGTAATATTCCAAAACTGTAATCTTTAGTTAAGAACTTAAAGAAATCTATACTTACAGCGTATTATGGCTGCAAGTTTTCTCCAGAAACAATTGTTATTTTCTCTACTCTTGATTTTGGTAGTTTGGGAAGCCGCGGTAGCTAGCCGTGATCTCCAAGACATGTCTGTATACGAAAAACACGAGCAATGGATGGCAAAACATGGTAAGATTTATAAGGATGTCGCGGAGAAAGAAAGGCGGTTTGTGATATTCAAGCAGAATATTGAGTTCATAGAATCTTTTAATAAGGCTGGAGACGAGTCTTACAAGCTAGACATCAATGAATTCGCTGATCAAACCAACGACGAATTCAGGGCTTGGCGTAACGGATACAAGAGGTATGTTCATCGGAGATCGACACCATTTAAGTATGAGAATGTGACTGGTGTTCCATCAAGCATGGATTGGAGGAAAAAAGGAGCTGTTACTCCCATAAAGGACCAAGCTCAATGTGGTAAGAAATACTAAGAAAAATAATATATACTTTGTGTTTATAAGTACATACATACATACATATATATATATATCTTGATTAATTATGACTATTAAAATGTGAGAATAGGTAGTTGTTGGGCATTCTCGGCTGTAGCAGCCACAGAAGGGATTACCAAATTGACTACAGGGAAGTTGATCTCGTTATCAGAACAAGAGCTTGTAGATTGTGACACGCAAGGCGTGGATCAGGGTTGCGAGGGAGGACTAATGGAAGACGCTTTTGCCTTCATAGAGAAGCATGGTTTAACAAGTGAAGCTAACTATGGCTACCAAGGTTCTGATGGAAAATGTGACAAGAAAAAGGAAGCTTCTCCTGTTTCCAAGATTTCAGGTTATCAACTCGTCCCTGCTAACGACGAGGATGCCTTGTTACAGGCCGTGGCGAAGCAGCCTGTATCAGTCTCTATTGATGCGGGAGGATATGCATTCCAATTTTATTCAACTGGTGTTTTTACAGGAGATTGTGGAACCGATCTTGATCATGGAGTAGCAGCTGTTGGTTACGGCAGTACTCGAAATGGAACGAATTATTGGATCGTCAAGAACTCGTGGGGAACAGGATGGGGCGAGAAAGGTTACATAAGGATGCAGCGTGGAATAGTTGCTAAGGAAGGTCTCTGTGGCATCGCCATGGATGCCTCTTATCCTACAGCCTAATTTCAATATCAGTATATACATATATATGTCATACCATCACTAGTTGTATATGAATTTTATATACGAATCTCAGTTTTTCTACATTCAGAAAGTTTCAATCTTAATTTACGATATTGATAAAAATAGAATTATTGATCGTTATTTTTTAAAAAAATTATTATTTTTCTAAAGATTTTTTTAAGATTTTCAAGATCATATTGAAAATTTTAAATATGTATAAAGAATATAAATAATTTTTGTTATCTTATAATAAAAAATTAAATTTATATTAAATTATATTATAATAATAAAAAAATTAATCTTATGTAAAATTTTATATAAATTTAAAGTTAAATATTACATTAATTAAATACGTTTATAAATAATTCATTGTTAAATCAATCAAAATTTAATAAAATTTAAAGACGCGGCTATTCCGTCGAATTTCTTAAAAAGAGTTGTTTCGAGTTCCTAAGTATTCTTTACCTTATCCATTTATATCGATTTCAGGTATATGTACTATTTTATATGAATTTTTCTATAAGTATAACATGAGTTATTTCAGCGTCGTAGTGCTTGACACTTGAACATTAGTTTAAAACATTTTCTCCGCCCCTTCTTACCTTAAAAGAGTTAGGGCATTTTGTATCATTGAACTGATAACTATCTTTCGACTAATTTAACCTCTTTCGTCCTTTGGGATCAACAAATGTAGTATAAGAATATTCACCTATGGTCTATCGACTATGTCTTTTAATATGATCTTAGGTCATGATTTATCATCTGTGGACGAATTTTGCAGAGAAACTTTTGATTTTTCGGGTCTAGCTAATTAAATAAAATTCAATAAATGAAATATTAAACAGGTTCTTTATCATGTTTATCAAATTCAATTCTATAACTTAAATTTATTCGAGTTCAATCGAACTAATTCATAAGCTTTGATTATCAGTCATATAAGTTTGGATTTCTCTAATACAATTATTTAAATCATC